AAAGACAATTTACAGACAAGTTTATTTCTTCAAAGCTTCTTGTCAACAAGTTGTGTTCATGCTTGATTTACTAACATGGGCAAAACCACAGCACAATATTAAGAAGATTAAAAAAAAATCACTGTTAGTAATGAACACTTTCAAATATCTTCTGATTTTCTAAAATCAACTAAACTTGCTTTATGCTTTTACTCCAGGCCAAACAAAAGAACTAAATTACTTAAAAAGTGGACCATAGTCCAGAGTATAAGCTAGTATTTAAGAATTAATCTTGAATCCACCAAATGCTAACCAAAAGAACAGGATCTACTTTATTTATTTATTCTTCTTTTTTTTTTTTTTTTTGAAAAGAAAGCGAGAAAGGGCTAGTGGAAGGAAGAGGGAGAGCCTTAGTTCTTAAGATTGATGTGGGTTAGATCTCACAACCACTGAGATCATGACCTGAGCAAAAATCAAGAGTCAACACAACCAACAGAGCCACTCAGGCACCCTGAACAGTCTCTATTATTTGAGCTAAGCTTCTTTAGGATAGAAGCAGTGGAGAGAAGTCACAGGAAAAGTGAGAGAACCGAGAAGAAACACACATCTCTGCCACCGTACCTCTAACTGATAAAAACCCTGAGAATTTATCCCTCAATATACACATGTCCATTCAACAAGCAAAACCACATTCTGGTCATAAAACACACCTTAACAAATTTAAAATAACAAATCATACAACATCTGCCCTCAGATCACAATGCAATTAAATTCGAAATCAGCAGCAGAAAGTAACTGGAAAATCCCAAAACATGTCAAGACTAAATAACACATTTTTAAATAACACAAGGGTCAAAAAGGAAAACTCAAGACAACTTCAAAATATGTTTAATTACATGAAACACAACTGATCAAAATTTATGAGATGCAGCATAAGCAGCGCTTAAATGGAAATTTATAGCACTGAATGCAAATGTTAGGAAAGACAATCTAAAATCAAACACCTGAAGTTCCACCTTAGGAAACCAAAAAAAGAGCAGATTAAATCCAAAGTAAGCAGAAAGAAAAGAAATAATAGAGCAGAAATCAATAAAATTAGAAAAAAAATCAATACAGAAAAATCAATTAAACCAAAAACTGGTTCTCTAAGAAGATCAATAAAATCAATAAGCCTCTACCCAGGCTAAATGAGAAAATGGAAAGGACACAAATTACTAATATCAGAAATGAAAGGTGTCATCACTACAGACCCTGTGGACATTAAAAGACTAATAAAGGAGCACTACAAATAACTCTGCCCACAGATTTTATTTTACTTTTTAGAGATTTTATTTATCTGAGAAAGAAAGAGCACACACATACACATACAGCAGAGGAAGGGGCAGAAGGAGAGGCAGAAACAAAATCCCTGCTGAGCCCAACTTGGGGTTCAATCCCAGGACCTCGAGATCATGAGCTGAGCCAAAGGCACTCTCTCTCTTTCTCCCTCTCTCAAATAAATAAATAAATAAAACCTTTTAAAATAAATAAGTATGGGGTGCCTGGGTGGCTCAGTCATTAAGCTTCTGCCTTTGGCTCAGGTCATGATCCTAGAGTCTTGGGATCCAGCCCTGCATCAGGCTCCCTGCTCTGTGGGAAGCCTGCTTCTCCCTCTCCCCCTGCTTGTGTTCCCTCTCTCACTGTCTCTCTCTGTGTCAAATAAATAAATAAAATCTTTAAAAAGAAAATAAATAAGTAAAATCAAGGTGTCCCAAGGCTTCACTCTCCATTCTGGAGTAGTATTTAAGACAGTACTGAAATACATGCCCAAACTTATCTACAAAGATCCCAAAGATTCCTACATAATGCATTTAAAAAAAAAAAGAAAGAAAGAAAGAAAGAAAAGATGACAAAACAAAAAAAAACTTGAAAAATCAAAAGCCTGGGGCGGGGTTGGGGGGGGAGGTAGGAGTGGATCCTGGTGGCTCAGTCAGTTAGGCATCTGCCTTCCGCTCAGGTCACAATCACCGGGTCCTGGGATGGAGCCGCACATCAGGCTCCTTGCTCACCAGGGAGCCTGCTTCTACCTCTCCCTCTGCCTAAGGCTACCACTGCTTGTGCTTTCTGTCAAATAAATAAAATCTTAAAGAAAAATCAAAAGGATAAAGAAAACTGTGAAAATCAGGCTACATTTTATTTAATCAGAAACATGTACCTACTCTGAAAAATGTCCTGAAGTCAGAGAATCAGAAATGTGAGAGTCAGTAGGTTTTTTAATCCCCATTGCTCTTATCCAGGAGGAAAATGGAACTCTTACCAAGTTGAGTGATTCTGTCAAATTCATGTAACTAAGGGCAGAATCTGGATCTTCTGAGTTCAAGTACTACATGCTTTGCATATCATTAGGCCCAAGCACTGCAAAGGTTCTTAATTTAACCAAGCTGTATTCAAAATAAATTCAACTCCTCACTTTATTTAATGGTTAAACACTTTTCTTTGAGGTATTCCAAGCACTGACCAAACTTGCATAAACAGACATCATCAATTTCATGACTGGGAACACTAAAGTGGAGTTAATACAGAAATGTAAGCAATACCAGAATGGAGTCAACTACTGGGCTGGTAGTTGGTGACATTCTCCAGGTGACATTCTCTTAAGTGACATTTTGAGAAACAGCATGAGTTTACCTTAACCTAAAACAAAATTACAATTTTGAAATGGCAGGAGATTGGGCGCCTGGGTGGCTCAGTGGGTTAAGCCTCTGCCTTCGGCTCGGGTCATGATCTCAGGGTCCTGGGATCGAGCCCCGCATCAGGCTCTCTGCTCAGCGGGGAGCCTGTTCCCCCTCTCTCTCTGACTGCCTCTCTGCCTACTTGTGATCTCTCTCTCTCAAATAAATAAATAAAATCTTAAAAAAAAAAAAAAAGAAATGGCAGGAGATGGGTTCTTCTAGTATTACAGAATACTGGAACAAATTCACATTGAGCTTCTTTGTGACTATCTTAAGGATTTTTATTAGACTTTTTAACTTTTCAGACCAAGAAGTCAAAAACTGAGCTTAAATTTAGGAAGTGGAGATCTGAGTTTTAGTCCAGACTATGCCAAACTATTGTTATCTTAGATAAACCAATGCTTATTTCCACACCTCAGATTCTTCCTTATGTAAAATTAGGGAAGCTTGTGGGGGGGATGGAGATGGTTAGGCTAATTGTTTTCTTTCCTTCCTTCTCATTCTACTATTCTGTATCTTTGTCTAATTTCACTGACACAAATAGAAAAAAAAAAACCTCTTTATGAATACAAAGCATTAGTTATTCACTGAGGTGAAATACATACACAGTGCCCAAGATTCATAGGTTAGGTTAGCTAGGAGAGTACACCAGAAACCACAGTATTTTGAAGTTCTTTTCTTTCACTTTTTAAAAATTATTTATTTATTTAAAGATTTTATTTATTTGACACACACAGATCACAAGGAGGCAGAGAGGCAGGCAGAGAGAGAGAGGGGGAAGCAGGTTCCCTGCTGAGCAGAGAGCCTGATGCAGGGCTCCATCCCAGGACCCTGAGATCAGGACCTGAGCCGAACGCAGGGGCTTAACCCACTGAGCCACCCAGGAGCCCTATTTTTATTTATTAGAGAGAGAGAGAGAGAGAGAGCAAAGCAGAGGGAGAGTCAGAGGCAGAGGGAGAAGCAGGCTCCCGGAAAAGCAGGGGAAGCCCGATATGGGACTTGCGATGCCGGGACTCTGGGATCATGACCTGATTTGAAGGCCGTGGCTTAACCAACTGAGCCACCCAGGCATCTCTTTCACATTGTTTCTAAAAGTTATTCAAAAGTCCAACTTCCAACACTATAAGCTGAATAATGTCAACATTTGGTCCTGAAAAAGCATGGTACACTGAGGCTAGATTCCAAGACAGAATGCCCTCCGGATGAAAATTTGAAATCTTTTATATAGGCAAATAATTAACAGTGTTGAACTTAACCAGAGGCCTGGGATCTTGGAAAACACCAAAGGTTAATACAGCCCCCCCAAGCCCTTTTGTGTTCTGGAACGGGCTTAATGCAAAGAAACACTGGTCCCCACAGGACTTAGGTAAGACTCAAAGATGCCCCACTTGTTTACCTATGACAAAGCAGAGACAAAGCCCGCAAATTCCCATTTTTTGCTTCATAAATGACTAGATGAATGACATGTCCCCACAGATTAACTGGTACAAAATATTTGTTACTCAAATTCTGGTTAAGATCCTCTTTCCCGAGGTTCCTGAACTTTGGCCCACCCTCGATCTGAAGCAGCAAAAACTTCTCTGGCCTGAGGGTAAAACAATCTAATCTACTGTTAAATGGTACTTCCCTTTCATCTCACTTCCCCACACTTGGTTCTTTCTAGGATTGCTTTACTCCTCCCTAATAAAAAGAAAAACCTTTTTGCTAAATCTTCGAGACTCTTGCTATCTTACGGTTAGGGCATTCTTCCTAGTTCCCCAAGCCCTTGCAATATTCCTTTCCAATAAAATCTCTCCTTACTAAGTCTGAATGTTTCATTTGACACCCTTCCCAATTTCAAATGGGCTGAGTGTGAAAGATAAGCTGACTTTGCTTTTCTCTTAGTGACAAGTGTTGATCTTCTACAAAAGGATCCGTCGTGTGCACCCGGAAATGCTAAAGGGATTTCTAAGATCTTAAGTTCTTGGCTACTACCAGGCTGCTAAGAAAAAGGGAGGGGCGGAGATGATCAACCCAGCAAGGTCAACTCTGAGACCACCTGGCGCCACACGCCGTACACAGTGAAAGGGCCACGAACATTCTGGCTACGTACTCCACACTCCTGGGCAGATTTCACGGTTGGGCAGGGCAGATGCTTCTTCCTCAGGGGCCCAGGAGCTCCGGGACAGGTAGGGAGTCCTGCCTCGCGGTTCATCCCATTGCTCTCGCCCGCTCCATCCTCAGCTAGGTACCCGACTGGCTACCTTCACAGGGCTAACCTCCTGGACCCTAGCTTCCCACTGGTACTCCAGCCTTCACAGAAAGACTCACCATGGCGCCAAGGACAGGTCGTGGGCCGGACGCCCTGGAATCCCCGGGCCCGTCCTGGGCCTTCCCTCCCCAACCCGCAGCCAGGAGCCTCTTAAACAACGCAAGGGACAGAGTTTTCCGGCTCTGACGGAAGTTCTGCCCGCGCGGGACAGGAAGTCCCTCCCCTCTCTTGAACGCTGGCGACCCCACGCCACGCAGAGGTGAGGATACGCAGGACGTCCTCTAATGCCACTTCCGTGGGTGCTAGGTTAGAAGCTGGGGGCGGTGTTGACCTTGAGAGCGCGCGAGGGAAGCGCAGGCGCAGCTCAGGTAGGTGGGCGGGTGGGGCGCGGTTGCGGCGCCTGTGAGGATCCGGAGGTAGGTTGGGTGGTTCGGGCACGAGCGCGTCCTCGCCCTGGGAGGTGATGGAAGTGCAGGTTGATGAACCGGCTGGGAGCCGACCCCAGAGGATTTAGTGAGGAAGAAAAACCACAGGCCCTGTTCGTGCTGGGACGACAGTAGTTTCTTCAGCTGAGCCACTCCCTTTTTACCTTTTCCTTTTCCAGGCTGACCGTCCTTGGAGACTTTCCGGATCTCCACAGACCTCTCTGTTCCTCTGTCGTCTCTTTTACCTGCTTTAGTGCGTCCTGCAGCCCTCCCCTTACGGCAGTGATATTTGATCCTGAGACGTTAATTCACCATTCATATATACCAGTGGAAACCAGAAGAACATCTACCAAGACCAGAGAAACCAGAAAGAGAATTCTGCCTATTTTAAAATACCTTCCAATATGGGTGGTTTCCTTTTATTTATAAATATATATATATATATATATATATATATGTATATATATATATGCACATACACACAGACGCATGGGAGTTTCACTTTTTTAGCTGATGTTGATATATATATAGATACACACACACACACGAAACTCCCATGTACCTCTTAAATCTGTGTTGTTGTTTTCCCAAGATTTGTACCCTTCCACTCTGTGCCTTCTTATTTGGCTGTAAGTCACAGTACTGGAGGCAGGGTTGAAGTGGATATACAGAACACCTTTAACCCAGAAATTAGTCTCACAACTTGGGGGCCCTTGCTTAAGACCTGACTGTATCTACAATTTCATTTATAAGATCTCTTTTTGCCACTGTCTAGTTTTGTCATAAAGCTGGAATTGGGGAGCTAAACTAGGACGCTTGACAAGAGGTTAAGAAGTTTGAGCAGGCAGGGGTGGCTATGGATGTTGTTTCACCCTCCTTGTCAAAGTACCTGGAGAGCATGACATCCAGTCTATAAATGGTTGGAAGACCCTTGGAATCACTTCTTAGCCATCCAGAAGCAGCATGCACAGGGCAATTGCTTTGTATTAAAAAGGGGGCTAGAGACTGAGTTATGAATTGTTTTTACTTTGAATTATCTTTTGGGGGGAGATGAATAATGTGGCGGACAAGAGAGAAGAATTGTAAGTACTAACATTAAAAACAGCTGGAAGTGGGATGGGGCTGGGAAATAGTTTGTGAAACAGACCTGCTGAGAATCAATCCAGAACTTCCCTGAGGGTTCTACCTCTGCTGTATAGGGACAACGTTGTAAATAGATATGCCCCAGGGCATCTGCAGATGCTAAGTGTGGTAGAGAGGATTAGAGTCGTTCTGCTTGTGTATCTGTGGGAAGCAGCTGCTATCCTTGAGGAAGAAAAGGTGAAGAAGGAAACTGGCTATCAGTCTGTCAGTGACAACACATTCTGTGAAGTCTTACTCTTTCATTTCTGACACTTTGGTTCTTACATCCGTCCTAAACCTGGCAGCCTCATTGAGGTTCACAAAGCATCTCCTTCTATGTGACAGTAAGACTGGAATTATTATCAGGATGGAATCTATTCCTGCCAGAGTAAAACCATGAAAGGAAATCACAGTCAGTATTCGTTATCTGCTTATCATTTTTAATAGATCATGGGGTTCTGTGTTCCTTATTTGGTATTTGATAAGTTGATAAATAACCCTTGGTTAATATCTTTTAGTATTCCAATTTCTGTTACAAGGTGAAAAATGTTACAAGGAACATTTTTTAAAGATTAAAATGCATACCATATGTCTAAAGGCAGCACCTCCCAGTCTTTTTTATCCCACAGAATAATTATAATGTTTTGTGTTGTTTACATATATTGAAGTTGAGGGATTTACCTATTTTCATTCCTTAAAGTAGATGAGTCTTAAGAGATTCAAAGAAAGGAGAAATTCCCTTATGAAAGGGAATAAAATATGTGCACGATGGAGATTGGCAAGAAATTCAGTAGTCTTGCAAGGGAATCAGAAGTCCAATCTTTGGTAACTTTGATAAAAGTGCTAGTTGCTTATTAGGGCTTTGTTTTGAGTTGCAGTTTCCTGAGTGAGAACTGTTATCAAATACTTAAGAACACCAGCAAAAAGTCCTCCTTCAACACCCACACTGACCTGGAACACTTTCAACCATTAACACCTATCACTTTCAAAGGCCAGTTCTATATTCTTTGCAAAATCTCCTGATAAACTTCCCTTCTGAGAACTTTCTATTACTTTTTCTTTTCTTTAATAAATATGATTATTATGTGCTTATATGGCCTTTGTAATTTCGCCCCAACATACATTATTTTCCTAATTGGACACAAATGCCTATAAAGTGGAACCTTCTTTTTGTGTAGAACACCTCCTTCTCCTTAAGAAATACCATTTAAATAAATGTTGTGGACAAAATCACTTCAGTTACATTGCTTTTAGAATGTTTTATGGACAAAAACGTTAGTTGTAGCAATACTTATAATGGTAAAAAATTAGAAACAATTGTTAGCAATTAGAGATTGGTCAAATTCTATCATGTATACTTATTGAAATATTATTTAGCTACTTTTTAAAAGTAATTAGTCTTTCTAATGGGAAAAGTTTATTTTCCAACTTAAAAGAGCAGGCTACAAAATTGTAAGCAGTGTGATTGCTTTGATGTGGGAAAAAGAAAAATCCTAGACATAAAACAAAGAGTAAAAAAGGAAGTAACCAGATATATCAATCACCACTCCTAGAATTACCTTCTAAACCTTCCCGTAAAGGGGTAATTTTAAATTTTTTATTTTATTTGACAATGGATGAAAGGAGCTTCTTTTCTTTCTTTCCCAAAATTATGCTTTGTAACCTCCCTATAATTCTCATTTTCCTAATTTGGGAATAACAAAACAGATAAAGCTCTTCAGAAGTACATTGCAACCTCTAATAATTTTTTTTTAAGATTTTGTTTATTTATTTGACAGAGAGAGACACAGCGAGAGAGGGAACACAAGCAGGGGGAGTGGGAGAAGGAGGCTCCCCACTGAGCAGGGAGCCCAACTTGGGGCTCAATCCCAGGACCCTGAGATCATGACCTGAACTGAAGGCAGACGCTTAACGACTGAGCCACCCAGGCGCCCGCAACCTTCTAATTAATTCAGTAGTCTTCCTCTGAAACTTTCCCTTATTTATATATTACCATAATTAAAGCTAGGAGCATATCACATACCTAGTTAATTAGAATAACTACTGTAAATTGTACACAAATTATACAATGCACATTTTCAAGGATCACTAACTTACATAAACGTGATCCTGGTATCATTTGATACCTTTTGATACTAGGAAAATCTTTTAACAACCACCACCAAGAGCAATAAGCAAACAAAATCATAAGAAAATATCAACTGTTTAAAACCTAAATTAACTTTTTATTCATTAAATATTTATTAATTACCTACTGTGTCCCAGTCACTGTTCTAGACTTGGGGAAACAATGGCAAATAGAACAGACATAGGGATGCATGGGTGGCTCATTGGTTAAGCATCTCCCTTCTACTCAGCTCATGATCCCAGAGTTCTGGGATGGAGTCTGGCTCCCTGCTCAGTGGGGAGCCTGCTTCTTCCCTTGCTCCTTCTGCTCCCTCGCTCATGCTTGCAGAGGGGACAATAATGCAAAACCGTAAGGCATGAACTAATTTGGAATATTTCAGGAACCAAAGAAGCCTACCTGTTTGGAGCATGGTGACTAAGAAAAGAGTAAGTTTAGTGGGGTATGAAAGAGCTAAGTTATATTGGCACTGAAAACCAGGAAAGGATTTAGATTTTATTCTGAGTGTGAGGAAAAAGGCATTTTAACTTGAGGAGTGGGATGAAACAATATATTTTTTTAAAATCTACTTTGATAATATTTTTTAATTGAAGTATTTAATCCACTTACATGTAACACAGTTACTAATATGACTAGATTTGAATCTATTAAGATATTATTTGCTCTTTATTTGTCCTATCTCTCCTATGTTGATTTTGCCCTTTTTTCCATTCTTTTAGATTAATTTTTACTTATTCTATTTCTCGCAGCTTGAGAGCTAAATATCGTTTTAGTAGTTTGTATTGTACCTCTTCCTGGGTGATATAACAACCTGAAAACACATCAACTTCATTTACTACCCCACCTCATGTTATATACATAGTGTATACTTAATCTCTTACTTAATGTCTTAAATTCCTCAAGGCATCATTTTTCTACAACTACTGTGCATTTATATTTAGTCAACCATTTACCATTGTCTCTTCTGTTTTATGACTCCTTGAGTTTCTGAGCTTCTTCCTGGGGTCTTATTTCTTCTTCCTGAAGAACATACTTCATTATTTCCTTTTGTAAATGTCTGCTGGTGATAAATTCAGTTTTTGTATCCTGAAACTACTTATTTTACCCTCATTTTCAAGAACATTTTTACTGAATTATTATGATATAACTAAATGTTTTAGGTTTTCTTGGTTTTCTTTTTGAGGTTTGTAATGTTTGTTGAATCTGGGATATGATGTTCTTATTCTGTTTTGGAAAATTCCCAGCTCTTAGATACTGCTTCTCCCCCATTCTTCTCCCTTCTCCTCTCCTTCTGGTACTCCACTTAAATGTATGTTAGATCATTTCACATTATCCCTTATGTATCCATTCATTTGTTCCTCATGGTTCATTCTGGATAATTCTTACCTTTTTTTGAGTTCACTGTTTCCCTTTGAATAGTCTCTAAACTACTATTAAACCTATCTGTTGAATCATTTATTTCAGTTACTACTTTTTTGGTTGTCAGTTTGGGCATTTCTGTTTGTTTCTGTTTTATGGCTTC